TGTGAGAATCCTTCTCAATATATGTTCGAAATCAACACTTTGAATTCTTTTAAATTTTACTAAAAATTCCAAGCTTTGTCGGCAAGATTCTATAGATTGTTCTGTAATTTGTTATAACCATTAAAATGCTTCCAAGCGCGTGACAATTATGACTCCACGACTCATAAGTATTTTTTTCTTCGAATCTGTGATCTTGAAATTGTTTCAAAATCTCACATTTTAATTATTTTTTCTCCAAATCTTGCATCACGAAGATTGTTATTAATCACAAATTTTGAAGAAAAGTTCTAGTTTCAGACTCTACACAAATTTCAAAGCCCCAGAATATTGGAAATCTCCATAAATCACATTTTCTATCCTTGCAGTAAATTCCTTCCAGTTTTTTGTTGAATATTAACAACCGGGAAATTTTTAAGATTTAAACCAGGAAAACCGGGAATTTCAAAATGAAAATTCACTGGCCACCCTGAATGTTATATCAGTGTTCACTCGGCTGTCGACAAAAGCAGGCCACTCTCGATGTGTGCCCAATCTTGTAACCGGCACGGTAGGCGACACTTTTTCTGTGATAATCGACTGCCTTTGTCTCCGACACTTGCAAAACAAGCTATCATAGTACAGTACCAAACTAAAATGTCATATGACAGACTCTGCCATACGACACTGTCGCCAAAGACCGTCACGAATGTATGTGTTTTAGGTTTTCTCATAATAAGAGCTGCTGATGTTGTGCTTGTGTGAATTCTGAAAATAGCAAGCAATGATGTCCTAGTAATAACATTTCTGATCAGAACTGGTTTAATTTATACCAAATTAAGAAATTAGAACAAAATCACACATGTCACGACAACGAAGCGAGTGTAGTAAAAAACGTCAACCGTTTCAACCCCTGTGTGTGCCACGCGATCGTCTGTTTTCTCGGCAGCAATCATTGTGTGGTTCTCCTCATTGTTCTTCATCAGCAGTTCTTTCGGTCGATACGTCGTCGAATTTGGAAAGCAACCGTTTGGTGATGAGTGTGTGAGTGCTGACCACGTTTTGCGTCCATTGCTGCAATGGAAGCGCTTTGACCCCCGTTGGCAATACTGCCATACAATGAAACCACTGGAAGCGGGTCCCGTTCTGATGGAGGAGGCTTTTTGGATAGCGGAAGATAAATTGTTTATTGTGTTGTACCTTTTGACTATAGTTTTAAGATGTATTGTATAGTGACCAAGAATCCTCGGCTCTGTAAAGTTAATTCGATTGAGCCTTATCAAATAAATTAATAAACAACCATGTTATATCTTCAGTCGAAGATGATGTAGACTTCGTTGAACCTAGTCGACATAAAGCGGACAGGATCATGAAGGCCGTGCAAGGAGTTGCGGGGCTCAAGCAGCTAAAAGTTCCGTTGGTGAAGTAATCGTTCAGGAACATAAAGGTTAAGTTGACCTAGCAACTCCGGTGCGTCAGTTTCTCCTGTGAGAAGTGTAGATACAAACACCGCTTGGGCATCATTCCGTCTCTGCTCAAGCGTCTGCAGTCCCAATAATCTGCATCGATCTCCATATTGTGGTAAGTTCAACGGATCTCGCCACGGAAGGCGTCGTAGGGCATATCTCACAAATTTTCTCTGAATTGCTTCGATCCTACCAGTCCAGGTTCAATGACATTTATATAAGGTCTGGGTCAATGGGCTTATTGGTGTTAGTGAAATGTGCAAATTCTTAGTGGTGTTCGATGTTTTCCAGCTTGTGGGAAAACTACGCTTCCGTAATGATATGTTGAAAAGTGTCGTAAGAGGGAAAATCAACTCTTCGCCGCATTTTTTCAGGATGCATGACGGTATGCCATCTGGACTGGACACAGAGTATTTCAATTTGTTTATTGCGGAGTCCACCTGATTCGACGTGATCGCAAAGCTTCTCAGAGAACAGACCCCACTATGTGTATCTCTACAAGCTTCTGTGATTTGACGTACAGACGACGTAGAATCATTAAATGCCCTTCTAAAGTGAGTGGCAAACAAATTGCACTTTTCCAAAGCGGAGGTGGCGACTTCATCGCCCAGAAACATCTCAACGGGTAACCCCTTCTCCTTCCGTTTAGAGTAGACAAATTTCCAAAAATGTCGTGGATGTCTGCGTAGATTTTCCTGAGTTCGGTTGCAGTAGCGTTTGTACAGATAACGGTTACGTGCGATAATTGTTACTAGCAAAAGCACAACGAGACTGGCAGTAGGTTCGGAGTGCTTTGGATCTTAGACGTTTGAGTCGTCGTAAATGTATATTTCCCCAAGGTGGCTTCGAAGATGGCCTGCTGCGCAGTGGAACAAAATCAACCAAGTAACTCTTCAACACACTGGTGAAGTACTCTACAGCAATGTCAATATCTTCAGCGGATTCAAGGATGTGCCAGTCGGTTTGGCGAAGCGCTTCAAGTAATCCTCCAAAATCAGCGCGGTGAAAGTCAACTCCAGGTTCGTCCGGGAAACTCTCAAATTCAGTAGGCTGTGCGAGACTGATAGTTACTTCAAAAGCGGGATGATCGGCATCAAGAAAAGAGAGTGGTTCTACAGCTGCTTCAATCTGGCATCGAGAGGGCGTTGCTTCATTCACCAAAGCGAAATCCAAGATTCGCATGTTCTGATTAGTAATATAGTTAACTTGATACAGACCATGCAGATTGAAGCCATCGAGTAACGAGGCGCAAGCAACAGCGATGTGAGACTGCAATGCTTCTACGGAAGGGCGATCGTTGCTTGGTGTGTTCCAGACAAGTCCCGATTAATTATGAAACCAAGCGTAACGGGAGTAGGCACAGAAGAATCGTTCTGGAAATTTGATCTACTTGATTGTCGTGCAATACCATTTCTAGCGTTACCGAATGACGAAAAACAAAAACATTCGAAATTTATCACTAAACACTGATGAACTGATTTTCACACGAACGAATATGCTTCAAGAAGCCAATTTATCACGAGGTCACGGAATAATAAATTTACGGATGGCTTTTATACGAAAAAAAGCTGAATGTTTGTCAACAATAAAAATAAAGCATTCACGAATTTGTATACACGGAAAACTTTTTATCACATATAATTCATCATATTAAAAAAAAATGTAAGGGGTCGTAGAGTTCTCTGCATCTCTCTTAAGTAAATGTTGGACTAACATACCTTTCCTATCCCTACCAGTTGTGTTGACGTGGCCAGGACAATCCTTAAAGGCCCAAACACAACGTGGGCGGAAGCGGAATGGAAACGGAAAATTTGACAGTTGTCACAAATGACATCAAGAAGATGCTTAACCGAAGTCGATTTGGTTGTAACTAGTTTTCAATCCGACAAGTAGGCTTACTCAGATCGGGCTATTCCGCTGCCGCTTTCATTGCGCTTGGACCTTAACTGTTGAAGCGGGATATGTCTATATATTGAGCAACTTGTTCGATGCTAATGTTAATGTTACGTTATTTCATATAGTTGCAGAGAATAATCAAGGTATACATTGATAAAAAATACTCACAGATTCGTCCAACGGAAATGATGTTGTGGGGGCGTACTTAGCAGGTCATGGAATAGTTAGCGTTCCAAGCCAGTGCGGTCCGTGCCACCATAATGAGTTTTCTTCAAGTTCGTTGAGGTTCATGCCCCGAGATATGAGGTCCGCTGGATTTTCTTTGGACGGAACATGGTTCCAGACAGCATGAGTGGTGAGCTCCTGAATATCAGCCACACGATTGGCCACAAACGTCTTCCACGTAGACGGTGTTGCAGAGAGCCAATTCAACACTATGGTAGAATCAGTCCACAAGTAGATCGTGGCGGAAATATCAACACTGTCCTCGGCTTGTACCAATAGTTTGGACAGAAGTTGAGCAGCGCATAACTCGAGTCGAGGAATGCTTTTGGTGTCTATCGGAGCGACCTTGGATTTCGACATCAAGAGTCGAGTTGTGCAGCATCCAGCAGAAGTGATTGACCGGAGGTACAGACAGGCCCCGTATGCAGCTTCTGATGCATCGTTGAAGCCGTGAATTTCCAGGCGTGCGTAACCTGAACTGAGAACGTGTTTAGGAACACGTAGCTTAGTGAGAACGGGGAGCTGTTGCTGAAATTCCTGCCAGTTGGCGGCGACTGCTGGTGGGACTGCCGCGTCCCAGTCGAGTTGAAGTTTCCATAGTCCTTGGAGCAAAATCTTAGCCTTCGAAAAAGTCGGTCCGATGAGACCTAGTGGGTCGAACAAACTACTGACTTGCGACAAGATTGCCCGTTTTGTCAGCGTGGAGAATTCCTTCCACTTAGGTTGCTTGAAGGAAAGCAGATCGGTAGTTGGCTCCCATCGTAGATCCAATGTTGTAACGGAAGCTTCGTGGTCCAAATCGAGTAGCGTTTCGGTCTCCAGGAGTTCCGGAGGAATGGCATCCAAAACGATCTGACTGTTAGAAGACCATTGCCAGAGTGGAAGTCCTGCAGAAGCAAGCATTGTGATGAGTTCTTTACAGCTTACGGCGAGAGATTCAGCGTCGTTGGAACCGGTCAGCAAATTATCGACGTAGAAGTCGCGACGAAGCATTGGAGCTGCGAGCGGGAATTGCTGTTCTTCATCGTCAGCGAGCTTCTTCAGTACCCGGATCGCCAGAAACGGAGCACAGTTGGTGCCATAGATGACGGTGAGTAGCTGGAAGATCTTCAGTGGAAGGTCGGGATGATCGCGCCACACTATACTCAATAGCGGTTGATCAGACAAGAACACGAGGATCTGCCGGTACATTTTCTCGATGTCCGCAGAAGCGACGAATTCGAAGATTCGGAAGCGAGTGACGATAGTGACCAGAGTATCTTGAATGGTGGGACCAGCAAGCAGGACGTCGTTCAATGAAAGGCCAGATCTCGGGCCAGATTTCGATTGACACGAGGCGTCAAAGACTGTTCGAAGCTTGGTTGTCGTGCTATCCATCTTGACCACTGCGTGAAGGAAATAGCGAGGCTTGACATTTCGTTCATCGGGACTAATTTCTCACATGTGTCCTAACGCCAAATATTCGTGGATGAACTTCTGGTACATTGCCTTCTTCTCAGGATCTCGGGTTAGCGACCGTTCTAAAGCGTAGAAACGTCGCGTAGCGTTGAACCAGTTGTCATCTAGCTGCAACAGGAGTTCTTCTCGCTTCGGAAGTAGGACAACGTAGCGGCCATCGGAGTTTCGAGTTGTGTTCTTGAGGAAGTGTTCTTCGCAGAAACGTTCGGACGGAGACCAGCCTTTTGTCTTTTGAACCTCCTCCAACTGCCAGAAACGGTTGACCAACTCGTCGATTGTGCAGGAATTGCTGAACTGACAGCTACGTGGATCTTGGTTATCGTGGTTTTCCACCGTACATTCTCCTGAGACGACCCAACCGAATTCTGTGTTCTGGATCAGAGGAAGATCGATGCCAAGAGAAATTCGGCCATAACGGAGAACACGGAAGAAGTGTGCAGCGCCAAGGATCATGTCAATGCTACCGGTGATGGCGAACATGGGATCAGCAAGGTCAACGTGCTTTGGAATCGACCATTCACGAACGTCGACGGAGAACTGCGGCAGTTTCATGGTAATCGACGGGAGTATGAGCATGGAACTTTTCAGGGTGAATGGCGACACCCGGGAGAAGATGGTGACTGATGTCTCGTGTTCCACGATCGTGGTGGTGTTGCCAATTCCACTGATAGTAATCGGCTGTGGAAGTCGAATGCGAGGAAGTTGAAGCTTTTCGCACATTGGTACAGAGATGAAGTTTCGTTGAGAAGCACAATCCAACAAACAACGTGCGGTAATGATCCGACCTCTGCTAGTGCGAATGTTCACGAGAGCGGTTGGAAGAAAGACGGTTCCGGGGATCGCTGCTTGGGATTGCGAGACCAGAGCATATTGCGAATTCCCAAAAGTGTCGTGAAAACTGGAAGCTTGATTTACAGGAGCAGCAGAAGTAGACGGTTGCTGGACTGGAACATCCGGCTCGAAGGACCAAATTTATGTTTAAGCACTTCACCACTTTTCTTCAAAGGAATGAATTGTTGGAATCCTTAACCCACCAATCAAAATGTACACGGGATTTTCTCCTAGGAATCGTTCGGAAACACCACAGAAAAACGATACGATGAGAATTCGAGTGCAGACGCGACGGAGTACGTAGTTCAACTCATTTATTTACACTATGTACAAATTGTTATGCTGCACTGGTTTGACAGCGGGTGTGTTGCATCTTTCAGCTGCTTGTACGCTACGTACGCACAATGGGAGTGGTGCGCGTGGTACAGTGGCAGTAATTATTAATATTCGGAATTTCATTTCAATCTGATTGGTTTTAAACACTACCATTTCAGGGGGTAGCGTTTGAAATCCCAGGATTGACCTATTTTGAAACACTCTACTGTTACATTGAACTATGAAAAATAAAACGCAATTTTAAAACCCAACAAGATTTTCGTGTCCGGATTTTTTCGTGTTCACCCTTTGCACGATAGTGCTCAAGGGTCTCATGACACTATTTCAATCTTTTCCTGTGAAATAGAAGTCGTCAAAAAATTTCCACTCGCAATCAATTCCGAGATGCTCCTCACTCATAGATACCGCAGACGACAGACAATGATGATGATGTAACTAAAAGTCTCTTTCTCCCAAATGCTTCTCCAACTGAATCCTGTCAACCTGTCGATTGCCTTCGCCTGTTACGTTCTCATCACGCTTACCCACACCGACGAAAATAGCAAAAGCATTCCGTTCGTTCGTCTGTTGACCGGTAAGACGACGACGACGACGAAATCAGCGGTGACAGGATTGTATTATTTCTGAAATCACCGAACGGAAATGGCCTTACCAAACTGAACTGACAACTAAGGGACGGTTACCTTCTCTCCACCTTCGCTTGTTCCGCTACCTGTTGGTTGGATGGTGTTGGTGGAAAAAATTTCCTACACTGAAATTTTTTTTTATTTTGTATTCATTGAATAACATTCACGTGATTTTAGGATTTTCATATGGACATAAAGGAAAATTTCTCATCACATTTTAATGTGCCAGCAACTCTCCAAGGAATCACCTTAAAGCTTAAACTGTTAATTATTTGCTTGAAAAAAAAAATTGCCGCCCCTTTTAAAGAATCTGCTCGCGGAAGGACTAGGCACTGTTTCCAAAGAACTTCGTTGCTCCGCTGACGGAAGAAGGGGGGAAGTCGTTGAACCTGACGCTAAAAGCAGCATCCCTTTGCTCATCTATAATTCGTGAATTTTTGAAGGGAGAAAAATGAGCATTAAACGTATCAGAAGCGAACACACTGCACTTTCGTTCGTTCATTCGGTCGTTGGATCGAGGTGGCAGGCCGTGAAGTGAGAATCGAACACGAAACGACGCCCAAAAAGTAAAGTCCAATCCGAGGGAGTTCTTTTGGGAGGGAGGGAGGCAGAGTACCGCACAGGAGGGAGCAAATAATAATTTCATTAGAAAAGTTTTTCCAGAAGCTGAGTGGAATTTGTTAAGCATAAAGCACACTGTGAGCGAGCAGTAGGCCTTGACCAAAGACCCGGGCGAGAGAATGAGTGACAAGGAGTGGGTACTGCGAGCAGAGCAGTCGCCTACTTTGCCGGAATTAATTATACACGAGGTTTGAGTTGTTGTTATTTTTGCGTTTGCTTTGGCTGGTTTCTCGAAAGTTTAACATTCGCAACCGGACTGAAAGTCCGTCCTGGGGAAGCTGTTCCCTAATGGGATTAATCGGTACTGGCAGGATCACTGAAGAGTGAACGGAATTACTAAATAGCTGGGCACGCAAGGTTTCGAATGACGGGTGGGGATTACAACGTGTTGAACATGCGGGATTATTCTTCAAGACTTTTCAAGGCTTTAGTTCAACTTACTGATTTCAATTTCGTTGCATCTCTATTTTCAGATTGATCGTTTAAGACGGCATCCGGTTGTGAAGTCCGGCAAGGATCCATTCATTCACCACTGAAGTATTGTAAGAACGGAAGAAAGCAGGCGTTGCGCTTAACGCATAACCTCGAAAGATGTCGCTGTGGGCACGCGTTAACCAGCTCCCACAACCCGTCCTCGAGCAGATCCGCTACATCTATGGCAACAGTTTCCCGATCGAGGTGCGGCACTATCTGGCGGAATGGATCGAGGAGAAATTGCTGTAAGTTTTGATCATGCCGCTTGTTTGCTCCTGTTTCAGCACAATTCAAGACGTACATGTGCAAAGGGTCAGTGTGTCAAATGTAAGCGATTCAGTAAGCGTCGACATTTAAATTGCCGAAATACAATCATCAGTTACTTCAGCCGTACTTGAACAGGCGTTTTTGACGTAGGACTACGTCTGTGATTTCTGTATGGGGATACACTTTGTGAAAACCAAAAATGGAACATGGAACAAAATTATGAAAGATTTTGAACGTTAATAACTCAGCTGCCCCTGGACCAATTTCAATAATTTTATCACCAATCGATCAGAAATATTTCTACGCATCTATTAAGTTTGAGACTTTATCATTTTTTTTTCTTAATTTAACTATTGAAAATTGCACGACTGTGCAACTGTTGATGCAAATCACCGATTGCCTGAAAAAGCGATTTCCCTAACACTGATTTCAAAGTTGAATTCCATCCGGTCTCACCAAACGGTGTTTATTCAATCACCGCGTGGTGAGTGGTGGTGTACACCACGAAAGGCTCCCCGCAAGCAGCTAGCTAACAAGGCTTTCATTGAAATTAGCTTCCATAGCAATAGCAACGGCTGTTGATTCAGCCAATACAATGCCATCCCGTTTTTGGCAATACGATTACTTCAATTATGTGATGTAGATGGGCAGCGAACTGCCTAGTAGTTCAAGGAACTTTGTAGAAGTTTAGCGTACTACGAAGGAATTCGATGAACTTCGTTAGACTTCGTAGCAGGACAAGGACTTCTTTTTTGAACTTCAGGGCCTACGTAGGAAATTTCGTAGACGATAATGGAATACCGTAGAAGTCCAGCATACTTCTCTAGAACTTCAGGGCGATCTTACTGATAATTGGGCCACATGGAATTTTGCGGTAAAGACGTTTTTGGAACTCGAGAACCTTTGGGTGGCAGTGAAGCCGATAGCAAATCCGAAATGATAGGAAGGTTCGTGTTAAATCAATCCTTCTATTGACCCAATCAACAATGTCCATGTGAAGGATGCAAAAACGGAACGTGAGTGTTGGGCGAAACTGGAAGCGGCATTTGAAGATAACGGTCTAACCCGGCTAGTAGGACTCTTGCGGAAGCTCATGACAACCACCTGCGTGCGATTCTGTGGACAATTACGCTACCCAGATTATTTCCACCGCTCACCAGCGTCGTGGCGTACACACTACGAAAATGTCATGTAAATTTCGGTTCCATGTGACCGACACATGTAAGCGGCCCTTTTGACATAAGAATCAGTTGAAAGAAATGAGAAAATCAATGCAATGAAACGTTCTCTTCGTCGATTTGCTTATGTTTCGGTTTGAGAACACTTAATTTTACATGAAATGTTTGTTTACGTTCCACGGTTTACCGGTTTACGTACAATATGGATTACGTCTCGTGTAAAATTAGTTATTTCTAAGTGTGTAGGATTTGAAAGTACGGAAGAATGGGTTGGAAAGTTGCTGTTAGCAGGACTACCGCAGGAATACAAACCCTCGATAATGGCATTGGAAAGCTCCGGAACTGCGATTACTACAAAAAGTGCAAACGACGACCGACAGAACAGCGTTTTTTTTTTTGGGGGCTGGGTTCAATTCCCGGTCCGGTCTAGGAATTTTTCGGGTTGGAAAATTTCTCGACTTCCCTGGGCATAGAAGTATGATTGGACTTGCCACACAATTATACCAATGCAAAAATGGTACAGGCATCGAAAGCTCTCAATTAATAACTGTGGAAGTGCATCTAGAACACTAAGTTGAGAGCACGCAATAAGCTAATATGCGATATGCAATAAGCTTGAAATGCGAAGAAGAAGAAGAAGAAGAAGGTTCCCTCAACCGAGGAAGAAGCAAAGCGTATACGAGAACAAGTCAGCTGAGCAGCCTGAAGGACCCAAATGCAAGCGTTGCAAGAAGTTAACCGAGGATCAGCGTTCCCAAGTACCCAACCAGCCCGCTAATTCGCCTTTTAACACTATATTGTTGATACACGGCTAACATATTAGCCACATATTAGCCTTATATTGCAAAAAGGCGAATTAGCGGGCTTGTCGGTTACTTGGGTTTAGTGCCGTGTTGTCTACGAACCATGGTGTAGCTTCTGGTGAACGCGAGGATGGCAAACGGCGCAGTAATAGCAGCACACAAAGTGGCGATGAATATCAAGCTGGATGGGAAGTGTAGTCCCGAATGTCCACAACAACTTCCTTTCGGTAAGCCAAATCGTTCGCCGTGGGCATGTGGTACAATTTTCTGCAAGCGGTGTCAAGGTGATCTACCAATCAAGCATTGTTTTAGCAACGAGTTGTCTTGATATGACTTACTTACTTACTTAAGGGTCCTGTGCACCACCAGCGGTGCAAAGGGCCAACGTGAAAGACTTCCATCCTGGGCGGCTGCTCGCTTGTGCCTTGACCTGGGCCCAGGTCAGATTTCTATCGACTTGCTTAATTTCCCTATTGAGGCTCCGCCGCCATGAGCCCCTGGGTCTGCCTCTGCTGCGATGTCCTGCCGGATTCCAATCCAGCGCTTGCTTGCAGATTTTGTTTCCGCCCCGTCGAAGTGTGTGGCCGACCCACCTCCACTTTCGCTCTCGAATTTCTGTTGCTTTCGGCTTCTGATGGCATCGACGATGGAGCTCGGCATTCGAGATCCAGTTGTGAGGCCACCAGGAACGAATTATATATCGCAGGCATCGGTTGCTGAAGACCTGCAGCTTTTGAGTGTTCTCCGCTGATACACACCACGTCTCGCTGGCGTATAACAACACAGATTTCACGTTCGAGTTGAAAATTCGGATTTTGGTGCGTTGACTTATCTGGTTGGATCTCCATACGTTTCGCAAACTCGCAAAGGCAGCCCTAGCCTTCTTGATTCGTGCACCTATGTCGCTCTTGGTCCCGCCGTCCGACACTATTTGGCTGCCAAGATATTGGAAACTTTCGACCTTCTCCACTGCTTGCCCCGCTACCGTAAAGTTGGAAGAGTTGCCCGTGTTGATATCCAACGATTTGGTCTTGTTGACGTTGATGGTGAGACCCGCCGCAGAGGAGCGTTCGGCTAGGTCATTGAGCTTACTCTGCATATCAGAGCGCCGTTGTGCTAGTAGAGCAACCTCATCAGCCAAATCGAAGTCGTTGAGATGCTCCATGGTGATAGGCTGCCAAAGCAGCCCACGGTTCGGTACACGGTCAATTGCACCTACCATGATCTCGTAGATTACGATGAGAAACAGTAGCGGTGATAGTATACATCCTTGTCTCACACCAACGACTACCCGGATAGGGTCGGACAAGGCTCCGTTATGCAGAACTCTGCACGTGAAAGCCTCATACTGCGCTTCGATGAGGTTGACGATTTTATCCGGGACTCCCTTGCGTCTCAAGGCGCCCCACAGATTCTCGTGATTGAGACGGTCGAAAGCTTTTTCGTAGTCAATGAATACTAAATAAAGGGACTCTTGGAATTCATTGACCTGCTCCAGGATGATGCGGAGCGTGACAATATGGTCCACACAAGATCTTCCGGCACGGAATCCTGCCTGCTGCCGTCGGAGAGTCGCGTCGATCTTCTCCTGTATCCGATTCAGGATAACTTTGCACATAACTTTGAGAACAATACACAGTAACATGATGCTTCGCCAATTGTCGCACACAGTCAGATCCCCCTTCTTTGGGAACTTCATTAAGATGCCCTGCATCCAGTCGGCCGGAAAAGTCGCGGTGTCCCAGATATTACAGAATAGTTGATGCAACATTTGTGCGGATAGCATGGGGTCAGCTTTGAGCATCTCTGCTGATATGCGATCGACCCCTGGAGCCTTGTTGGATTTCATGCTTCGGATAGCTGCTTCAATCTCCTGCAGCGATGGGGCCTCGGAATTGAGGCGAGTGATGCGCCGCACCCTAGGCGGATCATGCCGAGTTGTTGATGGCTGGTTGGCCGTCGAAACTTGAAGAAGTTGTTCGAAGTGCTCAAACCAGCGTTTCAGCTGGTCAGTGGGGTCGGTAAGCATCCAATTACTTCTCGCAAGCCGAAACTATCGAAGGTGAAGTTCAGAGTTTCAGCTGGTGACGTGACGTAGCAAAACAGGTCACGTTTCGTGCGCTGCTAAGCATTGCCGCCCGTAATGATTGGACTGTGAAGCATGTGGATGTCAACACGACGTACCTAAACGGAGAGCTGGACGAAGTCATCTATATGCGCCTACTAGAGGGTTTCTACACCGGAGCCTATACGGTCTGACAGGTAAACTCCGTCTTTAAAGCAATGGGGTTTGTCCAGTCGAAAGCAGATCCATGCCTGTACATACGGAGGACAGGAGGAGCATTCACGTACATTCTGATTTACGTGGATGACATAATCATCGTATCACAGTCCGAGGAAGAATTCCGCGCCATTCTGGAGCAGCAGTTCGCCGTTACCAACCTGGGAGAACTACGCCACTTTTAGTTCAAATTGAACCAGCAGACATACATTAACAAGCTAGTCAAAAGTTTCAGCTTAGAAAAAGCCAAACCAGCGAAGGTTTCCATCGATCCAGGTTATTTACAGCCGAAGGAGGCGGAGCAAGACCATTTTCCGAATAACAGTCAGTACATCAGCTTTATCGGAGGTTTACTTTACGTAGTTTTACAAATGTCCAACTGTTAAAATTATCACCCATTGCCTGCAAAAAGCGCTTTCCCTAACACAGATTTCAAAATCGAATTCCATCTGGTCTCGCCGAACGGTGCTTATTCAATCATCGTGTGTGGTGGTCATGATCAGCAGCAACAACAGTGAACATTGTTCTCCAGTATACAACGAAGGAGGAAGAAGCCGCACCGCTACTGATCGGATTCAGTAGCTCGTCGTGAGTCGCTGTGGGTCATCTATGCCAAGCGCATCACCCTCGTTCCAAACAACATACAGCTCGCCAGCCTCATCTGTGTCGAACAACCTAATAGCTCAGCATTATTAAACCATCAGGACAGAACGGTC